CTTTATGAGCTTGTTGATCTTTTTGGAAGTCACTTGCTCTGGTGCTGCCCCCCCAGCAGATGATGGCAGAACAGATGTCGCTCTCTACAACAGACTTATAGAAGATATGCAGCATCTTGCTGCAAACACTGAAGGACTTCAGCTTCCTCAAGAAGTACAGTCTGTTCTGTCCCTTCTTGTAGACGCTTCACTGTTGCATTTTCAGTCCAGTCTGTTGTCCAGGTGAACTCCAAGGCATTTATACCTGTCCACCACCTTCGCTTCTTCTCCCATGATGGAAATAGTATTGAACCTGTTCTTGTTTCTCCTGAAATCTAAAATCATCTCCTTTGTTTTGTTCACATCCAAGATGAGATGATTGTTTCCACACCATGCCACAAAGCCGTCCACCCGTTCCCTGTACTCAGCTTCTTGTCCATCTCTGATACACCCGGCCACTGCAGAGTCATCTGAATATTTCTGCAGATGACAGGAGTCTGTTTTGTACTGGAAATCTGAGGTGTACAGAGTGAAAAGGAATGGTGAGAGTACAGTGCCCTGTGGTGCTCCTAAGCTACTGACCACCTGGTTAGACACACAACCCTTCAGTCTCACAAACTGTGGTCTGTTTGTCAGGTAGTCTTTGATCCAGGTGATTGTTGAGGCCTCTACCTGAGTCTTCTGGAGTTTCTGACAAAGCAAATCAGGCTGGATTGTGTTAAAATGCACTTATGAGACCAGTTGCAAAAAAATCTCAAGTTTATTTTATTTTTAATTTTAGTTGTTTTTCATCATTGCTGGAAGAAATGTGTGGAATAAATGTTTCTGTTGAAATCAGCTTCATAAAATTTACGGTGCTTACTTCATTAGGGTTATTAATCCCATTAATTTGGCAGCTTTAACAGTTTTCTTTAAGTTTCTATAGGCAAAGAATATTTGGACATTTCCAAATAAATCTGTTTTTATTAATCAAGTTAGATCTCCTCACCATATCTTTCCTGTTTGTGCCAGTAAAGATTGAATTTATTGAAAACTACATATAACCGGTGTGCTGCAGCACTTTAATATTATTAGTTGTTTGAATAAACTTGCACAAGGGTAATATTTTTCTTCGCCGCTTCCTTTACTTGGCCTCAGGGTGCCCTAAAAGCTGCCGAGAGGAGGTTTGTGGAAGGTGTGCCTTCAGTCTTGCTGTCCTGCTGAGCCTGAAGTTAGTGAGGAGGTTTAGACCCTGGAGCAAAAATTGTAATTACAGCTGGTCTCCTGGCTGGAAGATGATCTCCCAGCTCCCTCATTACAGTTTTTATTTGTCCGTTTCACACAGAACGAGGATGTTTCCAAACAGACAACACTGGGTGATCTGCTCTTAAAGATGACTTTGTGTTTTAAGTTCAGTAACGGCTGATAGATACAAACTATTTTAAAATCTGTTCTTGTCTTGATTGATCTGTACCTTTTCCCTGATGGTAACAGTTCAAACAGATCATGTCCAGGGTGAGACGTGTCTTTTAAGATGTTGTGCGCTTTTCCTATGCAACGAAAACTGTGTAGATCTTCCAGTGAGAGAACAGAGCATCAAATAATCACACATTACAGTAAGATGCATGGTAGAAATATATTTCAGCCAATTTCATTTCAGGGACACAGAGTCCTGTACCAGATGAGAGCCTGTTGATGTTGGAGGCTGCTGGTCATCCTTTTACCTTTAAACAGCAGAAACAGAAATGTTGCTTCTATAATAAGCTTAACCTAACCTTTTTGAATATAACAGTTGTAAAATCATCCTTTAAGTGTTAAGCTTTAGGTGTTTTATGGCTGTAACCATGTTTTGATGAGTTAACATTCAAACCATGAGGGTTATGTTTGAAAATTCAAATTTATGGACTTTCTTGTTGCTGAAAGTAGTTAAATATTAAAAACTGCTGGATTGACAATAATACAGGCAAACACTTTCGACTATCTTTTACCCGCTTATTCCTTTCTGTGTCGCGAGGGTCACTAGTGCAGCAGTCAATGTGCGAGAGGCGGGGGACACCCTGGATAGGTCTCTGGTCCATCAAAGGGACACAGAGACAAATGAGACAAACAACCATTCACTCTCTCACTCACATCTAGGGACAATTTAAGGCCGAGATTGTGAAAAGGTACGACAGCCAACTTGGGACCAGAAAGTTGCAGGTTCAAACCCTGCCATGCCCACATGTTGTGGTGTTCTTGAGCAAGACATCTAATCCCTAATTGCTCCACGAGCACTTGTAGTTGCTCACTACTCCACGTGGGTGTATCTCCTGTGTGTTGGGTTAAATGCAGAGAATTAATTTCATCATTGTATGGAAACATACAATGACCACACTTAGCATGCACACACACTTTAGAGTTACTTATCAGCCTAACATGTATGTTTTAGTCTGTGGGAAACCAGGGTACCTGGAGAAAACCCATGCATGCATGGAGAGAACATGCAAACTCCACCCAGAATGGCCCCTGGTAGGGATTTGATCCGGCAACCTTCTCGCTGAGAGGCGGCAGCTCTACAAACTGTGTTGCCATGTGCCGCCACTAGACAAACAACAGTAACAAAATTAATATTCACAGTTGATCATTTAATGAATTAATTTATGCAAAAATATCTTAACACTCTTAAAACAAACAGAATTTTATTGTTTTTTTATATCAAGAGGCTCTGACAATGAAAGCCCCGAAGAATACACTTCACTGAGAAAAGCTGCATAGTTTGTAAATAAATCAACCAAGCTATAAAACTATCTATTTTTATTTCATGTATTGTAATGAACTATTATATTATTATTCTCTTTCATCAAATATTATGATAATATGGGCATCATGGACATAATTTCCATGAATAATAACCAAAAGTAAAAGGCTTGTATAGTTGAATTAGAATAGTTTTACAGCATCATGGAGGTTCTGAGGTGGACGAGGAGTTAAACCAGTGAAATTGGACATACATGATAAAGCAGTCTTCGGGTTAAATCTTTAGCAGATGTATACTTGTTCAGAGTAAAAATGAGGGAGCAGAAATGTTCAAAAAGAAGAAATGATGAGGCTGTCTGGGAGGAGACTGATGAAGCAGCCAAACAACTCTCACTGGGACGTTTCCCATCCTTTTCTACTTTCTGTCAGTTTAATCAGTCCCTTGAGCCCTGTGCTCCCATGCTGACATCGGCCTTCCGGTTGGAATTCATATTTAGTTTTTTTTTTTTTTAACTTTTTTGTTTGTTTGTTTGTTTGTTTGTCCTCTTCTTCTTCGCCCCCTTTTTGTATTCCTTCTGCACAGTTTCTTCACTTTTATATTCTATAAGGGCAGAATGGTGGATTGTCTTTATTACTGAACATGCCCCCCATCATGTGAGCTAATTAAAAACAAATAACCACGTTCTTTATTACATTATCTCTCCATATCTTTGTTATCTTCACTGTAACCTGCTTGTAACAGGGGATGTCTTCCTTCAATTTGTTGTCATATTACAACCTTTCTCCAGCTCAATCCTTCATATTTCTTGTTTTCTTATGCGTACAAGGAAACTCGTGATAACAATAATATAGAAAGCATAAACAGCATCATATGGAATAAAAATAATTTAAAAAATGCTACTTTGGTTTCATTGAATGATTAAATCACAAAACACTCAGAAAAAAGCTGTCCTATAAAAAGATACAGCTCAGTCCATTACTGGCTCAGATTGTTATCACAACCCAGTGTCTACAGACAATAAATCTGTGAACAATTCTAAAAAATATATACTTGGGCTGATAACATTATTTGTAAGTCCAATGTGCATACATGATCATCTGTGAGCAAAAAAAATAATAATAAATCATGTTCTATGTCGTTATACTGCTAGTTACAAAGGAGAAGTTGTTCCAACTGTTTTGTGTTTGGGAAAAAAACAACACAAAGTGTGTGATGTGGTAAGTTTAGTGTCTCTTTTTTGTCTCCCATCTCGTCGCTAAGACTGGGAATTGGAAATATGTTATAAAGTCACTATAGAAAACTGGGTTGCCAAGTCAAAATCCAAGATGGCCACCACCATTCTGTATGTATGCAAACCAACCACCTAAATAATTTGAGGAAGCTACACTTTCTAGTTTTTATATTGCTTAAAAAATATAGTTTCCTCAAATGACTGGAGTGGCCGACAATTAATTGTAGCTAATGGTGGCCAACCCTGGCTCCTCCTGGTGGTGGATAAAATTACTATCTCCACACTCCAGGATCCGTCACTCTCTATTGCCTTGGATAAGAAAAAAAAACAAAAAACATCTCTTTCTCTACACAGATCTCCTACCCACATGAATATTTTGCACTATAGACGTTACATTTAATGCCCTAAGTGACAGGGACATTGGTGTACCACTTGTTTACAAAGGGCTTCAGTCACCTTTAGAATATTACAGTTTTTACTTCCATTCTCAGAGCTATACATTTTTTTGGTAATCACTGCTTTCTGCCCTCTTGTTTCACCAAAACCCCTCTGACCACAAACATTTTCTACCTTTTGCTTTTGCTCGCTCAGACTATAAAGCCATCAGACATTGCCACCGTTCGGACCCTTGGTCATCCTCCACACCTCATCATGAGGATCATGGACTGCGTCCTCCTGCTCTTCCAGAGGCGCGTCAATACTGTGAAGATCGATCTGGAGAAAAACTGCATCACTCCTTCTTGGCAGGAGTCCCTCAAACTGATGACAGCTGGAAACTTCCTTGGCAGCTTGCAGGTAGGTGCACTTTCCAATATTACCTTCATGCAGATGCTGCAGGAAAAACCTGCTCCCTGAGCTGTAAAACAAATTACGTATTTAACAGGTGCAGTTTTGTATTTAGTTATTTGCCATGCAGGACTTGGAAACAAAATGTATTGCTGCACACTTTTATAGCACTTTTTATTCTCACCCATGTTCTTCAAAGTGTTTTACAGTGTTTCTTATTCAGTCATGCACACATTTGCACAGTGCTTTTCTGTTGTGTTTGTTGCTTTTAAAATTATTTATTCATATCAATAAAAATCAAGGGCGGTAGTGGAGTACAGTGGAGACTCCAGCTCACTGCAGGGGCTAGGCATCAAACCTCCTCTGCAGTACCTTCTACCACTGGGCTAGGTGTTGGCCCAGCTTTAAAGGGATCTCCGACTAGCAATGCATTCTGCATAAATGATAGACGGATTGGTCCGGTGCAAGCTCTATTCAGCTTGAAAGTAAATTTTGGACATCCACGTTTTTATTTGAACCAGAGTGCATTGACAGAGAGGAGAATGTAGAAATAATTTGGCTATTGCGTTAACTCCAAAACTAATTTACCGTATATGACGTTAGCTCCAGAGCTAATGTCATGTTTATTAGCTCCAGAGCTAACGCTATTTGCTCTAAAGCTAATATATGTATAAATTGCGGTAGCTTCAGAACTTAAAAATCAAACATTGATCAGATTTGATTGTTTCAACTCGTGTGTTATGCATAAGGATTAATACAAAATATAACTTTATTGTCATGTTATAACTTTATAACTTTGACCCCATGTGTTTTGGGCTCCTCTAAAACAGATGTACATCATCCCCCGAGAATGCATCATGCCAGTAAAATAATGGCGACGTCCTTAGGCAAAAAAATGTAATTAATAAATATATATTTTTAAGTAGTTAGGAGTTTTTACAACAAAAGAAAAATATAAGAAAATAAAGACATTTAAAGAAAAAGTAATGTTATAAATGTTAAATTAATGTTCATAAGTGTTAAATGGTTGGTTAATATTTGTTCCTTGTGTGCAAACAGAAATCAGTCCCAACTCAAACAGTTCTTGCTTTTTCTGCTTGTCTTTTTCTTTTAAGCAATTCCCCAAAGACACCATTAATGAAGAAACGGTGGAGCTGCTGCAGCCTTATTTTGAAATGCCTGACTACAACATTGAAACAGCCAAGAGGGTGTGTGGCAACGTGGCTGGCCTTGCATCCTGGACCAAAGCAATGGCCTCGTTCTTCTCCATCAACAAGGAGGTCTTGCCCTTGAAGGTACAATTTTGGAAGCATTAAGAAACAAACAGATGTTCCTTGGTGCAGCTAAACAGATCTGTTTACAGACAGAATAGGAGTTTTTTTTTAATGAAGTTAGAGGAAAAATCCAAGGGAAATCTTGACATAAACATGCATAATTGGTGGGCAAGCTAAATGCGTTTTTAAGAAACACCATCTTCTGTAAGCTAACAGCCTGAGTATTTTCCTGACCTCTGACTCTCCCTCAGAGAGTGGATGTTTATCAGCACAGAAAAGCTCCAGGATTCACAAACAGATAAACAAACCTCTGATATGAAAATTATTTATTTATTTTTACTTTTACATTTGAAAAGCAACAGTTTGTTGACAGCGTAGGCACTAAAGGATTATGTTTTTATCCATGGATTATGAACCTTCAAATCCTGCTGGGTCTTTTAATTTTAACCATAATAAAGAAGAGTAAAAATGCAGGCAGACATCTTGGTCATAAAACATGCCATGGTCATCACTTTGACTGCATATGTTCCTGTTGTAAACTGAAATAATGTAATACTTTGTATAGCTGCATATTATCATCCGAATTCATACTGTAACTTAAAATAAATATGAATTATTATTTGTAAACTTTTATGTGAGGGTTATAACTTTCACATCATTTTTCCATATTTTGCAGAAGAAACACATTTCCCTTATTTGGTAAAGGTTTTTTTTAGAAGTTTTTGAGGCTTTTCACAAACATAATTACACATAGACACAACTTCCAACAATAACAAAAAAGAGTAAAATCCCTAAATAATGAGCACAGCAGCACACAGCTCCACCCTGAGAGTGCTGGTTGTGTTATCTTCAATCTGTTTAACCAGCAGCTGTTTGCTTAGGTTCTTTTAATCCAGTGTTTCCACGTAGATGTCCCTCAAAGCCACCCTTCCATTTTATATATTCATGATTGACTGTGATGCAGCAGCCACCAGTAGAGGATGGAGAAAACATGTCGAGATTCCCAGATAAAATACATAAATAGCAAGTTTAACCCTTCTTGATTATCATCTTAGTTCCCTTCATTTTAATTTGTCCAGAGTGACACCAAAAGGTTTTTCACAGAAAGAATATATATATATATATATATATATATATATATATATATATATATATATATATATA